GGCGGGACCACATTACACCGGTTTTAAAATCGCTGCATTGGCTCCCCGTGTGTTTCAGGATCGATTTTAAGGTTCTTTTAATGGTTTTTAAATGTCTTAATGGTCTTGGGCCTTCTTATCTTTCAGATTTGCTTTTATCCTATGAACCTTCCCGGCCCCTGCGCTCCTCCGGCAGCAGACTTCTAACCATCCCCAAAGTCAGGACACACACTCACGGTGAGGCATCTTTCCAGCACTACGGCCCCCGTCTCTGGAACAGTCTGCCGGAGGAGCTCAGGGCTGCAGAGAACGTTCATATTTTTAAAAGCAGGCTCAAGACGCACCTTTTTAGATTAGCTTTTGATTAGTTTTTACTATTTCATTTTATATATTCTATTTATCCTCTATTATTTATTGTATTGCTATTGCTTTTATTCATGTAATGTGTGTTAGTTCATTTTAGTTTCATTTTAGTTTCACATTTTTGTGTTTTACATATTGTATTGTTATTGTATTGTTTTTAGTGTACCCAGTGTTTCCTCTGGAGGAGCCCTCTGCACTGGGAGCAGTGGTCGGTGTGGCTGTGGGGGTCGGACTCTTGGACCTGGTGGGGGCCTGGGGCCTCAGTTTCGGGTCTCCTCTAGATCCTGTGTCGTCCCCTGTGGCTACAGGCGGCTCTCTGCTCCTGGTGCAGACGGCTCCTAGGATGACGCTTTTTCAACTGGTTGCATCCGAACCCTGCCAAGTCTCTCATCACTGTTTTACTGTTTTACGTGTGTGTGTGTGTGTGTGTGTGTGTGTGTGTGTGTGTGTGTGTGTGTGTGTGTGTGTGTGTGTGTGTGTGTGTGTGTGTGTGTGTGTGTGTGTGTGTGTGTGTGTGTGTGTGTGTGTGTGTGTGTGTGTGTGTGTGTGTGTGTGTGTGTGTGTGTGTGTGTGTGTGTTTGTCTGTGGTTTGGGATGGGTCTGTTGGGTGGTCGGGGGGAGGGGACATGGGCCGGCGGGATTGTTTTTAACCAAACTGTAAAGCACTTTGTGTTGCATCTTTTGTATGAAAAGCGCTTCATAAATAAAATTTGATTGATTGATTGATGTTTTGCCCTAATTGGTTCACTAAAAGTGAACTCTGGTTCCTTTGCGACTGAAGTGTAAAGTGTTGGTGGGTTGGTCTTTACTATTGTTCGGTGGGTCCCAACAGGACACAAGTTGGATATATTAATATATATATTATATTATATATATTATTTACACACTAAAAACAATGCTCAAATAAAGATTAATACACTAATCAAAGATCACAGCAGTATAAAAAATTAAGAACCAGTCTATGTCCAGTGAGCTTTGGTCATGTTTTTGAGTTGTGAATAATGAGCAGCAAAAAATGCTCTGTCCCATTGCTACGAAAGCTGTGCCAGCGATTTGTCCTGCTCCATGTGTTCTGCCCGCCCACCCCCCTCTCCTGCTGCTCGTGGATAAACCAGAGACTGTAAATATTTAACACACTCCTGTCCAGGTGCTTTCCATAGAATAAGGTCATCACGTTCACCGTACATTGGTCATTAAATACTGAATAGAAATAACCTTAAACAAGCTTCTTAGTATTCTGTCTATTCAAAAGTGTGCTAATGCTTTCATCCATCCATCTTTTTTCTTTCTGTGGTGAGTCCACAGGAGGATGGCTGCTCTGTCAGTGATTACCCAGCCTTGATCTGTTTTTTTTTTTGCAGCGTAGGGTTAACCTCTTCAGCCCGATTGCCCCCCATTTGGGGTCCGCCCCCCCTTGCTGCAGCTTGTCCGGACCGTAGCTGACAGATACAACAACTGACAATCACATGTTTCACATCCTCGTGTTCGGACAACTCTCAGCTACAACATTATCCACTTCAATTTCAGTTCAACAGACCCAGGTTCAAACAACAAACCACAATCTGACAAATCGTCATAAAGCACATGTCGAATCAAATGTTTGCTTTGGCGTCACAAGCGCCCTCAAAACAATAAGTAGCCCTGCTGTCAGCACACCATTAGAAAGCCCTCCCCGAGCTGAACACAACGCTATAAGGCTGGTATCACTACCTCTAAAACTCGCTGACCAAGCCGCAGACGAATGCCAGAAAACAAAGCAGTAAAACATCAGCGTTGAAGTAAAAGTTGACTTACTTTTGCTGTTTTTTCATCACAAGTCATTTCCGTAGGAATAAAAGTCCGTTTTTTCTTGTATTCAACCTCATAGCGAGGCTTCGACACCGATCTGGCAGATATCTGTTACTTCCTCCTTCTGTAAGAGGCCCTTTGTGATAGGCTGCACCCGTGCGTCATGTCACGTACCTCTGTGTATCTCTTCCTGTGATTGGCCACAGGTGCTGTCCATCAATACGTTTTCAATGGTTTTTGATAGCCGAAGGTGTCTTCTTTCCAAAATGGTATGACATGCCCTGATTGGCCAAAGTACCGCGGAGGCGTGGACATGCGTATAGTTGGGGCAGAAGGAGATGGAGGAGAGGATCTGTGCGCAAACCCTTTACACACGGCAGGTAGAGCAGTACTCGGAATTTTGACGAAAGTAAAAGATGGCAAAACAGCGTTATACACGCGAGGAGGTTGTAGAGCTTCTTGCTAGGGAACCGGGTGCCAAAGTTTATCTCGATGACTCTACAGACAGCGAGTTTGCCATTTGGCACAATTTTGGCACAGTTGGATTCCGCCTGGACTTTTTTTCCAATTCCATGTACAACTCTGCAGTGGTTTGTTTATTTGGCACATTTTTTGCTGGACTGGTCCAAAATATCGGGAACTGTCAATTTTTGTTCTTATTTGCTACACCACAGACAGGGAAAAAGCTTTTTTGAGGGAAAATATGTGGGTTTTTTTTAGGCGGAAGTTAGAATTGTCTGTTTCAACCTCATTTTATTGTCAACCAATACAATTTATCATCTTTATTTCACTTCCACAGCAATCCCCAAGGTCCACCAGGTAATTTGGTACCAAGTTTGGCCACATATCTGGCTAAATACTATATGAAACCTTAGTAAATGTAGATTATAGCTTTTTCGGGAAAAAAGGCCTCTGGGCTTGTGTCTTGCCCAAGAAAACAACAACAGCAGACATCAGTGGGAGTCTCGTGGGGGGATCAAACCCACGACCCTTAGGTTCAAAGGCTCTACCAACTGAGCCACTGTCGCCCCACTTTGTCAAGTCAATACAATACATTTTGTGCTAATGCTTTCATTTAGGCCTGCAACAATACTATACTGACGTATCATTCAAGAACTAATGGATGGAACTAAATATTTTGGAATGCAATATTTATTGTCTATACCTTTTATTAACTATAATGAGATTTTAAAGTTGAAGACACAATAAAAAATAAGGTCTTATTCTGGGATTATCCTGCTGTACTTTAATTTGACCATTGGCACAAAGTTGTTTATCAAAAAACATCTCTGTATCGACTGTATATCGTCGATCAAATTTTTTTTTTGTCACATGCATATATGCCTATATAGCATTGCCGTAGGTTTGGTTCTAGACTTGGAGGGGACATTCCCTGGGGCCACATGGATCTATAATAATAACTGGATAGAGCATTACTATCTTATAGCTGTCCCACCCATGGGCACAGGGGGCGCTGTGGTACTGCAGACTCAATTCACGAGGGCTACCCAGAAAAAAGTCCCATAGAACTCAATGGAAATTAAAACAGCTTGACCTCAGCTGACAGAGAACCTACAGCTTTCATAAAGATCGGATTTTGTGGGGATTTTAGTGTCCCTTGTCATACTGAACTTTTTTTCTTCTTAAATCCTTCGGTTTTCTTTAAATCCACACTTTACTGCCACAAACTCTGCTCCCTGCCTTCCCGCTCTGGCTATGGGCTATGGTACGCATGATGGGATATCTCCCATCATGCGTTGCGCTAATCTACTGCGCAGAACCGGGAGGACCAGACGATGCCCAAATATAGGCGAGTTCAGCTAATCTCCCGGTCTCCGTGAAGTCCCATGAACTACTGAGTACAAGCCATTCATTTGAACAGGACGCCATCTTGGATCACCGGGGCTTGGGCCTGAGACTACACCCATTTGAGGGGGGTCCAGGGGGTTCACCCCAGGGGAAAATGTTGTAATCATAGACAATATTTGCAGTAGTTTGTTGCCTTTTATAATAATCTCAGCTGTCTTGATATTATGAGAGGCAGTTTAGGATTATATCTTTAACTAATAGGACAGGTTTTCCTGAAAGTGCTGAAAATAACCCCAATGACTGCGCATGTATGTTATAATTCATGCTAATGGTTTATGTCAGAGGGATTCCAGATACTCCATTAAGGACTCTATGAAAGCACAGTGTTGTGCCAGTTCACAACTTTTCTGAACTAGTTCAAAGTTCAGTTCATTTTACATTTTGCGTGATATATTCAAATAAATACTTGTTTTCACTACGCGCTAGAAATCACAATACGTGATGTGTAATATATATATATATATATATATATAAAATTATATATACAGTGGTGGAAAAAAGTATTTAGTCAGCCACCGATTGTGCAAGTTCTCCCACTTAAAATAATGACGAGGTCTGTAATTTTCATCATACAGTAGGTATAAAGTATAAACAAAAAGGTTTAAATCAGAGTTAAAACAGTTTCTATTGAATAATGTTTTCATGGTGATTCCCCTATAATTTAGATATTGTATCCTGTATTGCTTAGGTTGTAAATATTATCTTATCTATACTGTAAAGTTCTTTATTTTATTTACTCGTAACAATGTGCTACTGAACTACTCTTATCCTTCTGTCCTGTAACGATTAAACAACCATGACACTGAAATGTAAGGGGTCTCTTATCTCAAATGCTTCATCTTGTTGTGTGCATTACTGTATATTGTACAGTATAGCCTAACCCTATATAAGGTTTGAGTAACTGTATGTAATGACTGCTGTGTGACAGGTGACCCTGGAGTGAGTGGGAGCTCTTTGCCCTCATGGCCTACACAAACTGTCTCCTCCAGATAGTCCCCTGCATGCGGCTGCTGCTGCTGCTGTGTCTGCTGCTGCCGGCTACCTCCCACTGTGAGTACAAGTTCTCAAAGTACAATTGATTCGCTTAAAGTATATTTTATATCCAACATTTTAACACGCGCTCACTTGCACTAAAACAATATTATGAAATAATAAAATAACATGCTAAGGGAAATCATGCTTTTGTTGGAATATTATTTTGCCTGTATGTTTTGCTTTGAATATTCCAACATAAACATGAAATTGTATATTGCATCATTGTTAGCATGGCCGTGCACTCCACGGTGCTATGGAAACTTTCATGATGGACATTTCTGATATTGTGTTACAGTGCCATCCATCCATCCATTTTCTTCCGCTTTATCCGTTGCCGGGTCGCGGGGGCAGCAGTCTAAGCAGAGACGCCCAGACTTCCCTATCCACACACACTTCCTCCAGCTCATCCGGGGGGACCCCAAGGCGTTCCCAGGCCAGCTGAGAGACATAGTCCCTCCAGCGTGTCCTAGGTCTTCCGCGGGGCCTCCTCCCGGTGGGACGTGCCCGGAACACCTCCCCAGGGAGGCGTCCAGGAGGCATCCGGAACAGATGCCCGAGCCACCTCAACTGGTTCCTCTCGACGTGGAGAAGCAGCGGCTCTACTCCGAGCTCCTCCCGTGTGACTGAGCTCCTCACCCTATCTCTAAGGGAGCGCCCAGCCACTCTGCGGAGGAAGCTCATTTCGACCGCTTGTATCCGCGATCTCGTTCTTTCGGTCATTACCCAAAGCTCATGACCATAGGTGAGGGAGGGAACGAAGATTGACCGGTAAATCGAGAGCTTTGCCTTTCGGCTCAGCTCCCTCTTCACCACAACGGTCCGATACAGCGACCGCATAACTGCGCACGCTGCACCGATCCGCCTGTCAATCTCACGCTCCATTCTTCCCTCACTCGTGAACAAGACCCCGAGATACTTGAACTCCTCCACTTGAGGAAGGACCTCTCCACCCACCTGCAGAGGGCAAGGCACCTTTTTCCGGTCGAGCACCATGGCCTCGGATTTGGAGGTGCTGATTCTCATCCCCAGCCGCTTCACACTCAGCTGCAAACCGCCCCAGTGCATGCTGCAGGTCCTGGTTTGTTGGAGCCAACAGGACAACATCGTCCGCAAACAGCAGAGATGAAATCCTGTGGTCTCCGAACCGGACCCCCTCCGACCCCTGGCTGCGCCTAGATATTCTGTCCATAAATACAGTGAACAGAACCGGTGACAAAGGGCAGCCCTGTCGGAGGCCAACATTCACCGGGAACAGGTCTGACTTACTGCCGGCAATGCGAACACAGCTCTGGCTCCGGTCATACAGGGATCGGATGGCCCTCAGCAGAGGACCTCCGACCCCGTACTCCCGGAGAACCCCCCAAAGGACACCCCGGGGAACACAGTCGAACGCCTTCTCCAAATCCACAAAGCACATGTGGACAGGTTGGGCGAACTCCCATGAACCCTCGAGTATCCGATGGAGAGTATAGAGCTGGTCCAGTGTTCCGCGACCGGGACGAAAACCACACTGCTCCTCCTGGATCCGAGATTCGACCATCGGCCGTAACCTCCTCTCCAGTACCTTGGAGTAGACCTTACCGGGGAGGCTGAGGAGTGTGATCCCACGATAATTGGAACACACCTTCCGGTCCCCCTTCTTGTAGAGAGGGACCACCACCCCGGTCTGCGACTCCATTGGCACTGCCCCCGATCGCCACGCGATGTTGCAGAGACGTGTCAGCCAAGACAGTCCTACAACATCCAGAGACTTTAGATAGTCAGGGCGGATCTCATCCACACCCGGAGCCTTGCCACCATGGAGGCTACCAACCACCTTGGTGACCTCAGCCAGGGAGATGGATGTACCCGCCCCAACATCCTCAGCCTCTGCCTCTGTAACGGAGGACGTGACGGGGGGATTGAGGAGAACCTCAAAGTATTCCTTCCACCGCCCGACAATATCCCCAGTCGAGGTCAGCAGCTCTCCACACGCACCGTACATGGTGTTGGCAAAGAACTGCTTCCCTCTCCTGAGGCGTCGGATGGTTTGCCAGAATCTCTTCGAGGCCGACCGATAGTCATGCTCCATGGACTCTCCGAACTCCTCCAAGTCCCGGGTTTTTGCCTCTGCAACAGCCCGGGCCGCGGCACGCTTGGCCTGCCGGTACTGGACAGCTGCCTCAGGAGTCCCCCGAACCATCATGGCTCGATAGGACTCCTTCTTCAGCCTGACAGCATCCCTTACTGCCGGTGTCCACCACCGGGTTCGGGGGTTGCCGCCGGGACCAGCACCAGAGACCTTGCGACCACAGCTACGAGCCGCCGCATCGGCGATTGAGGCAGAGAACATGGTCCACTCAGACTCAATGTCCCCCTCCTCCGCCGGGACCTGGGAGAAACTCTCCCGGAGATGTGAGTTGAAAGTCCGTCTGACAGGGGGCTCAGCGAGACGTTCCCAGCAGACCCTCACTATACGCTTGGGTCTGCCAGGTCTGACCGGCTTCTTCCGTAGGTTTCCTCCGGGTACTCCGGTTTCCCCTACCACTAAAAATATGTACAATAGGTCTGGCATGCGCCTTCTGTTCGGCGACCCCGCTCCCATCTCTGTCTGGAGTGAGAGGACAAGTGCCCAAAAAAATAATAACAATTGTAAACCGCTTTGTGACCCTTGTCTGTGAAAGGCGGTATATAAATAAACATTACTTACTTACTTACTTCCCCTGCCAGCGGATCCAACTCACGACCAGGTGATGATCGGTTGACAGCTCCGCCCCTCTCTTTACCCGAGTGTCCGAGACACGCGGTCGAAGGTCAGATGATACGACAACAAAGTCGATCATCGACCTCCGGCCTAGGGTGTCCTTGTGCCACGTGCACTGGTGGACACCCTTGTGCTCGAACATGGTGTTCGTGATGGACAAACCGCGACTGGCACAGAAGTCCAACAACTGAACACCGCTCGGGTTCAGATCAGGGGGGCCGCTCTTCCCGATCACCCCTCTCCAAGTGTCACTGGCGTTTCCCACATGGGCGTTGAAGTCCCCCAGGAGAATAACGGAGTCCCCGGGCGGTGCACCGTCCAGTACCCCTCCCAAGGACTCCAAGAAGGCCGGGTACTCTACACTGCCGTTAGGCCCGTAGGCCGTCACAACAGTGAGAGACTTGTCCCCCACCCGGAGGCGGAGGGACGCGACCCTCTCATTCACCGGGGAGAACTCCAACACGTGGCGGCTGAGATGGGGGGCAATGAGAATGGCCACCCCAGCTCGCCGCCTCTCCCCGCGGGAAACTCCAGAAAAGTGGAGCCGTCCAACCCCTCTCAAGGAGTTGGGTTCCAGAGCCCAAGCTGTGTGTGGAGGTGAGGCCGACTATCTCTAGTCGGTATCGCTCAACCTCCCCCACGAGCTCGGGCTCCTTCCCCCCCAGTGAGGTGACGTTCCACGTCCCAAGAGCCAGATGTTGTGTGTGCGGACTGGGTCGCCGAGGTCTCCGCCTTCGACTGCCGCCCAGTCCTCTCAGCACCGCTTCACCACGGACCCCTCTGCAGGTGGTGGGCCCACAGGAGGGACTGCCCACGTCATCCCTTCGGGCTGAGCCCGGCCGGGCCCCGTGGGCTAAGGCCCGGCCACCAGGCGCTCGCATACGGGCCCCGACCCCAGGCCTGGCTCCAGGGTGGGGCCCCGGCTGCGCCATGCCGGGCGACGTCACTGTTTTCATTTCTGTGCTGTCCATGGTGTCTTCTGGACTGCTCTTTGTCTGACTCGTCACCTGAGACCTGTCTGCCATGGGAGGCCCTACCAGGGGCATGAAGCCCCAGACAGCATAGCTCCCAGGATCATCCGAGTGCTCAAACTGTGTTACAGTGACTTCCAAAAATACTGGTCGTTGACTGTTTTTACTGCCTGCTAGCACATTGAATTTGAAGCAGGGCTGTCAAACGATTTAAAATTTTAATAGAGTTAATTACAGCTTAAAAATTAATGAATCGTAATTAATTGAATTTCAAAGTATCAACAAAATGTGCCATATCTTTGTGTAAATGGTTGCTTGAATGGAAAGATAAATGACAGTGTGCTGTTCACAAACGCTCTCCATCCAACCTCACTGAGCTCGAGCTGTTTTGCAAGGAAGAATGGGGAAAAATTCCAGTCTCTCGATGTGCAAAACTGATAGAGACATACCCCAAGCGACTTGCAGCTGTAATTGCAGCAAAAGGTGGCGCTACGTCAGGGACCTTCAGGGCGCTGCGCGTCGGGGTCCGCTTCGCCCTGTCGGTACTTATTTTCCGATGATGACCTGCGTAATATACGTTATCCCGCTTATTATACGGCTTTATACCAACAGAACACACAACATAAACTTCAGTCCACTTTTAGGAATGCCGAAAGGTTTATTTAATGACAGAAAGTAAAATAGTTCCCAAAGGCTTTCCCGTGGCTATGCTAGCAACAGTTAGGCTGGCAACTTCCAAACTAGAACTCCCTGGAACTGCATGAAAACTGAACAAAGAATTCTGAACATCAGCGGTGAGTGACCCAAACATAAACTTAACCTAAATCCATAATGCGATCCTCCGAAAATGTGCCGGTATCTACTTCCGGGTTCTTCGGGATCGCCTTTTCTCGCATAACATCAGTGTTTTGGTCATGAAAACATGAACGGAAAATTCTGAAAACTTCCGTGCACTTGTATTAAGACTGGATATGTATAATTCACTCTCCGATTAACATTTCATTGCGTTGATTGATTGGCATTTGCGTTTATTGAGCGGCCGGAACTACTTCCGGGTTTTTCACGATCGCTTTTTGACGCAGAGAAATAGTATTTTTGTCATGAAGACAAGACCAGAAAATTCTGAAAATTTCCGTGCACGTGTGTGAAGAATGTATATGTATAAGTATTCTCCGATTAACATTTAAGTGTGTTGATTGAGCGAGGCTAGCTCCGGAGTGGCCGGAACTGCTTGCGGAGTTATCCACGCATTTGAAAGACAAGCAGAAAGTGCGTTGCCAAAGGGCAGTGATCATTATTGTTTTGAGGGGTCCGTTATAAAAAATAATGACCGGTAGAACGTTTTGAAATTACATTCAAATCAATGGAGCGTTCTACTGCTGCTGTGAGGAGCCGTATAATAAAAAGTATTAGCGCAAGGGGGCCGAATAATATTGCACGCCCCACTTTTCAGTTTTTTATTTGTTAAAAAAGTTTAAATTATCCAATAAATTCCACTTCACGATTGTGTCCCACTTGTTGTTGATTCTTGACAAAAAATGTAATTTTTATATCTTTATGTTTGAAGCCTGAAATGTGGCGAAAGGTTCAAGGGGGCCGAATACTTTTGCAAGGCACTGTATGTACTGTATGTACTGTACAGTGCCTTGCGAAAGTATTCAGCCCCCTTGAACCTTTCAACAGTTCGCCACATTTCAGGCTTCAAACATAAAGATATAAAAACATTATTTTTGTCAAGAATTGTCAATTAGAAGTATTTTATTCAGCATGTCCCCGGAGCGATGCTGTTGAGCGCGGCGCTTGGTCGCGCGCATAGAGACCCCCCCCCAGGGCCTAGGCACTGGTGGCGGCAGAGGCAGCAGGCAAGCATGCTCGAAATGGGAGAAGGAGGAGGTGGGGCGGCGGAGGATGCAAAGGTGGGCCGGCTTTGGAAGTCTGACTGGAAGTGGGTGTTGCTGTGCGATGAGCCGAGGATGAGAGCAGGCCTGGAGGAGCTGGGCAGCAGCAGGCTGGGTCTACCAGGGTGAACTTGCGCAAAGCTTCATAAGTGTCTTTTCTTATTTTATCATAATTTAAGTTTTTGGCAGTGAGAAAGAGACATGTTCATTTATTCACACACACGTTCAAACAATCATTCATAAAAGAAGAGGCCACCACCCACGATGGCCATTGGAGGGGCCGACTGGGAGGGGCCGACTGGGTGCGATTGATGCAACCCACACTGCGGCGGTTTGGAGCAGAACAGTTCCTCGTTTTGAATCGCTCGGGGATATTGAAATGATTGTGTCTACTGGATCATTTTCAGGTTGACTTTCGTTGTTAAAGGTGCGCATTGTTTTAAAGTGACGACGATTACACCTTTCACAATTTATGCGTTTGGTTTGACAATCTTGTCTTGTTCCCTTTTCCTTTTAATTTTTCAAGTTTTTCTGGCACACTCATTTCATTGCTTTCTTTTGACACATGATCATTTTGTCACAGAAGAAAAACTGGTTGCGTTCATAAAAAGGTTGTTAAAATTACTGTGTATAAAGTGCAGATGCAGTTGACATTATTTTATCTTTTGTGCATTTCCCAATGCCAACTTTGTTGGTCTCCTTCTCGCTCCTTGCGCTCTCGTGTGCCTCTTGTCATGTTTGCAGTGCGCTCTCGGCTTTCCACCTCAATCTTTAAAAATTCAATTAATTCATTAATTTTCCAGACATCATCCTTTGCAACATCTTTTCTGAAATTTAAAATCATATCCTCAGGGATCAACTTTGTTAAAATAGGACACAGTAAACTACCGTAAGCCTGAGAAACAACTCCCATCGAGGAAAGGCTTCGGATTTGTATTTCACAATCGTCGTACAGGGTTCTGAGTGCTTTGACATCATTCACGTTTTTCTCAGGATATAAATTGAGAAGTTTGGTCACATATACATTGATTATTAAATCTTTCCATCCAAATCTGTTTTGGAGAAATTAAATGGCATTGTCATAGTTATGCTGATTTAACTCCAGAAAAGACGTCACTGATTTGTACAAGAATTTACACCTTCAGATTGAATTTGAAGAGAATTGGATTTATAGCTAGGACTCTTATAATAACTAGGGCTGTCAACTGATTACATTTTTTTATCGAGTTGATTACATCTTAAAAATGTATTAATCGTAATTAATTGCATTTCGAACTATTGGCAAAATTATGCAATTTTTCTGTAAATGGTTGTTTTACAGAATGGCTGTAGTAGATTCTGAAATGCAGAATTTCATTAAATCTCATAACATTTTACTTTTGGGGACAACCGTCATGAACTGGTAATGCAAGGGAAAAATCAGTTACCCCAGCTTTAATCTAGCTAAATTAGTTGCGCTTTGGGAGAAGACACGGAGGAGACTGAGGCTCCATAGTCCAGCTTCAGCTGTGTGTTTATTGCATGCACCGGTTACGCAAAGACACGCACACTACAAGCAGAGAAAAGTTATGTGCATGTATGGTCTTGGATATGACCACGTAACGGCGGCGCAGTTTGCCGTGTTGTTGTCAAAGCGGCTCACAGTCGCTGGAGGTGGGAACCGCTGTCCAGAGCGGCCGCAGCTGCCCCGGTGTAGCAGGCCAGTTTAACCCCCCGCCAGAATATACCCTCGTGGTGGGAGGGGGTGTGGTCGTGGTGGTGGGGTGGTCGTCGTTGTGGGAGGGGGTGTCGTATAAACTGGCCTAGGCTAGTTTAACCCCCCATAGGCCAGATTAACCCCCCCTTTTATTTTATATAATAACAATAAAATACAAGCAATTTTATTTATTTATTTCTTACCAAATACATTTAGGAAAAGATATGATTTATGAAATAAACAATTCTATATACAATGTATTCTTGACAGAAGTCATCTCAAACTATAACAATGATAAAACTATAACAACCTCCTAATACTCCAGTACTGTAGTTTACAGTACATACAGCAATGTGCCCATTTTTTAAGGAATCCTTATATTGAATACAAGTATATTTAAATATAAAACAATTTACAGAAAAAAAGGACTGCACTCTATCCGTACATCACAGGTTTTTTATTCAAAAACAACAGTTGACGCATCAGCAGTCACACCAAGCAAGCCAGATGTAACTCTTCCATCATCCAATGAGAAGTCAGGAAAAACATTGAGCCAAAGAAACTCTTCGACACCGACTCCGTTGATATGCGCAGTGAAACAGCGGCTGCAGAGTTTGAGACACTGACACGTTTTTCACATGACCGTTTGTTGATACACGCTCCAATGCAGTGATTTGAAGCAATTTGCTTCGGAAAGAGCGATACAAGCTCTGGAGATTTGCCCATAATTAATATCTACTCAAAAGTTCTAAAGGTGTTTTCACACCGCCGACGCTGGAACGCTGATGCCTCGCGCACCAAATGCACATTCTCTAATTTTCATACGCAGGGGTCTTCACACCAGAAGTCCTGGTCTGCGGTGGAGCCCGCCAGAAGTGGCGGAAGTAGCAGCCAGGCTTTGATGCTAACAGAGTTAAGCTAGCGGCTTTTTGAGCAAAGTTCTTCTCCAATAATGCAGCTCTACAGCGTGTCTGTGTTTAGAGACCTTCCGGAGACTTTATATAACAGCAGTATGTGTTCACGGAGGTGCGCCATACGTTTATTTAAACGGTACTTCCGCGTCATACACGCTCAAAGCAGTTGCATAAAGTCACGGGAGCATGAAAACGCATATGTTCACAAGCACTATGGCCCCCGATGTAAACCCTGGTTTTAGTCCTGGTTTAGTGCTGGTTTAGTCCAGGTTTAGTCCTGGTTTAGTCCTGGTTTAGCTGTTTACAGTATGTTCAGTCTCCTCGCTCAGACCACTAATGTCCCTGTGACCACTTTGCCGCTCTCTGATTCGTTGCTGCACAAGCGTCCGGAGGAAACGCTCAGCAATATTTATCTCCTGCGTGCGTCGATTTTCCGCTCCTGAATATCTGCCGCACCTTTGCCGCGTAGTCCGTGCGTCTCTACCGTGCACTGAAAGTCGACGCAACGCATGATCCGGTGTGAAAGCACCATAAGATGACTTATCACATGAAACATGTGAGAAGTAGATACATTCTCACAACCTCACAAACAAAGTGTGAAAAGCAATCACACTAATTAGGGCTACAGAGTAATTAACAAACTACTTCTAAATGATTTTAAATAATTTTGAAGGTTTAAAAAATATTCAATAACGTATATTTTATTATTATTAGATAAAACAAGAGGGGGTTTAATCTGGCCTAAGGGGGGTTAAAATAGCCTAGGCCAGAATATACCCCGGGGTGTATTCTGGCCGAGGCTAATTTAACCCCGGGGTGTAAACTGGCCAGGGGGTATAAAACAGCCTGTTACACCGGGTCAGAACGCTGCAGCCACGGAAAATGCGGAATCCCATTCGAGTTCACACAACAAACAACAGCGAGTGCCCCGCAGTCACGCACGTTTTCTTTTTAAACTTGGATTCCCAGAGGCCTACCTGCTCTGTTGTCATCTCACACACGCATGTGTCAGCGGCATTCTAAGTGTTTATTATGGGATGCATCGGCGAGTCATTCACCACATGCGTCAAATGGTTATTTTTTTTATGCAATTAATGAAAACATTTAATTAACGTGTATTAACGTGATAATTTTGACAGCCCTGATAATTACTTAATCAATTAGTGAGCCAATAAATGCTGACAAATTGTGTGTTTACTACCAGGTGATTGGCCATTACAGGGGGAAAGTTACTCTATACTCATCCTTACATGTGTTCTATGTCTTCCTCTGCAGTTATACCCCGCTTCCTCCGGGCTCCCCAGGACCAGACCGGGATCTCTGGTGGAGTGGTGTCATTTGTGTGTCACGCATTTGGCGAGCCAAAGCCTCGTGTCACCTGGATGAAGAAGGGCAAGAAAGTCACCTCCCAGCGCTTTGAGGTAAAGAGATGAAGATTAAGAGATCCTTTATTTGTCCCACAGTGGGGAAATTTCAGTGTTGGATCACAAGGTAAATAACAGTAGGAAAGAGGAGCACACAGCACAACAATAGCTGTACTAATTAAAAGAAAACAAAATCTCTAACTCTAGCATCAAAAACAAGTATAAAATCTCTTTATTGAAAATAATAATAATAAAAAGAAGTGTAAAGGACCCCTAACTTGGGATTTAGAGCTGCAGCTATCGAATATTTTGGTAATTGATTATACTGTCGAATACACCGATCGATTAATCGAGTAATTGAGATATTTTTTTTTTTGCCTAATTAAAAATATACATTATCAAATAAAACCATTTAATAATGACAACTGTTTTTAAATTATTTTGAAGTCTAAAAAATATTTATATTTTATTATTATTAGATAAAACAAGACGGGGTTAATCTGGACTAAGGGGGGTTAAAATAGCCTAGGCCAGAATTATGCCCCGGGGTAAATTCTGGCCTAGGCTATTTTATACCCGGGATATAAACTGGCTAGGGGGTATAAAACGGCATTTTATACCGGCATTTGGCAACCCATGGAAGTCGTGTACTGAAGTGTGTGCTTCGATGTGAGTTGTTGAACGATCTACAAGGGTCTGGCCAGAGTCAGGCTAGGTCCAACTATAGCTACAGGTTTAAATCTGTTCCCACCTGAATCAACAAAGTCTTGGTGAGCTATATTTAAGTGCTATTGATAACCAGAAAAAGTGCAAAACCGCCACCGTCTATACACTCGAGCGCACCCCCCTGCGGAGTTTTGAGGAGGATGTTGTAATCCCACTCATGAACACTTCATAACCCATCACTGACCTGCCCTCACTTTATGCTACTCTTACTTTACTGCACTTTACTGCACTTTACTGCACTCTTAACGGTCTATTGTGTGCACCTAGTGCACTTATAGTAAACAGAAGAAATGTTTGTAGATTTTTATTTATGCATGCCTTCTTGATTTTATTCTGCTTTAACTTGTTTGCAGAGAGAGCCAAAGCAATTTCCTAGTTTGTGACTTCCTGTTATTCACATGGCAATTAAAGGATTCTGATTCGGAAAAAAAAGTCCAGCAAGGACTCAGAGAGGCTGCATGCACTGATTCACTGTTTCGGTTTCTCCCCCGGTATAGACCAAGTAGCCCTGTAATGATGTTTAAAGCATTGAAAAGCGGGAAAGAGAACGGCATGCGGGCAACGAGGAGAATGGCAGCATAATTCGGAGCTCTTGCCAGTCAAATACAATCTAACCCCATTCAGACAGCCAAGACATCTGAATTCAACATCAAAAGGTGATATGAGTGGGGGAAACAAACGTGAAGGGCGTCAAACTCGAAGTACCCGAAACAAACAGCAAGAAGGCGACATGGAAGAAAATGTAGCCTCTACCGAAGAAAACGGAGCTAATATGCTAGTGGCTAGCATCCCATCAAGCGCTACCCGACATGACAAAGCAAATGGAAGCTCTAAGTCAAGAAATCAAACACGGATTTCAGTCTTTTAAAGAAGAAGTTAAGGCTGACATTAAGAAGGAGTTTGATATATTCAAGGTTGATATAAACAAGAGACTGGATGACAACGAACGAGCAGTGCAAGACATGAACGAGTCTTTGAAAGAAGCACACACAGGCATTGGCGAAGTTGAAGAATGGAGCACCGAAGCGAAGGATGCCATTATAAAAGTCCTAAAAGAACAAATGATTCTCAAAAACAAGCTCACAGACTTGGCGGGGAGATCGTGGAGAAACGATATACGTATCTTTGGAATACCTGAAGGGACAGAGGGTGAATCCGTGCCCCGCTTCGTGGAGAGTTTTCTCCGGAGAGAACTGGAGTTACCAGTGGAGACTCCTCTCATGATCCAGCGGGCACACAGGGCAGCTGCTGGGAGACCTGCTCAGGGCGCCGCGCTCCATCGTTTTGAACTTTCTCCGGTTTGACATAAAAGAGATGATCCTGAAGAAGGCTTGGCAGAAACGTCTGAAAATTGAGGGAAAACCACTTTTCTTTGACCAAGACTACGCGTACGAAGTAGTTCAACAACGCAAAGCGTATGGAGGCATAAAGAAAGTGCTGAAAGAAAACGATATCAGATTTCAGACGCCATTAACTAAGATTAAAATCCACTGGACTGATGGTCCCAAGACCTACGGGAATCCACACGAAGCAGCAGAAGAGATGCAGGAGAGGGGACTGGAGGTAACGACCAGGGCAGCGGAGGAAGGTGAGGACGCGATGGAGAGTCGTATGCAGCGAGTTTTCCCCTGGATGAAGGTGCGAGACACGCCGGGCAGAAGGAGCGACCCGAGTCAAAGAGCGAGGGAGAGGCTGCAGGAGTTTCGGAGACAAAGTGAAGAGAAATAATATGGGAGGTGACACTTAACTATTTGGCTCTTATTTTATTTTTAGTTACCTGAAATAAATAGTTATCTTATCTTAAAACGACTGCAGAAACGGTATATTATCTATCTTTATTCTCTGAGCATAATCTGCAAGGAGACTACTTCCTTAATGTTTATTTAATTTTTAGGGGCTAAGAAAATTATTTATTTATTTTTTGCTTTTATTTACCTTCCTTTAAAGATAATCGTGGTAAGTGACTGGCAGGAAGCCTAGTACAAGATTGTTGGACAAGTAGCATGCGAGGTGGATTTAAAGATGTCCCACCTACATCTACAGAGGGGCCCTTCTTTTTAGGGAGGCACTACCCCTCCCCGACCAACGGGACACCAGGACCTATACTGCAGGTCCTATCACTTACCGGATGGCCTGTATTTTTGTTTTATTGTTTGTTCTGAGTGTTCCTATTGTTTTCAGGGTCAGACTGTATAACTCTTTTCTGTGTTCAAATGCACCAAAATAATGTGAATTTCACCTCTCTTAATGTGAATGGATTAATAATTCAATTAAAAGGGCAAAGGTTCTAGCTAAATTTAAAAAGTATAAAGCAGAAATAATCTTTCTACAAGAAACCCAAAAATACAAAAATGGGTTTTTAATAATACTTTTTATAGCTCATTTAAAGGAGGTAGCAAACGAGGAGTAGCAATCTAAAGCTCACCGCACACCGAAACGCAGCGCCTCGCGGCGCGTCATTTGACGCGCGTTCATGACATGTGTCAAATTACACCGGAACGCCTTGGCTAGCGTCCTTTTCCAGCTGATCGCAGATGAAATGGGTGAGTGACGTTTGGAAGTTTCTACTAATATTTTAATAAAATAGCTACAATTACCTATTGTTAGCTTACCTGTACATTCAATTTCAAGTGAAATTGCTCTCCAGGCAATTTCCTTTCGCACGATATCCTTATAAAAAGGATTCTGTGGGTTAAATAGCTCTGGGTAACGCTGTACTTGGGTTATCAAGCTTTCCTCGTCCATTGTGACCGGTTTACTTGAGCAATAGCGCCGACAAGTGTGTAAATTTGAGACCGCGCTCACAGCTACGTGATAAGAAGCGCAGAAGAAGAAAACTACGGGTGCTTGGAGGGACAGTTTCAGCCGCGGCGCCGCGTCTGGATTCAACAAAACTGAATCGTGGCGCCCGGTCCAGCGTCGCCGCGCGTCACTGCAACCTTGGTGTGCGTTCTCTCATAGAAAATAAAGGAGGCGGCTCTTTTGCCGCGCGTCAAGGCGTTTCGGTGTGCGTTGGGCTTTAGTCTCCAACAAAATAAAATTTGAGTGTCTAAAAGAAATAAAAGACAAAGAAGGTAGATATGTTCTGGTAAAGGGGAAGCTGGAAAACAATATTGTCTCATTGTTTAATATATATGCCCCTCCAGAATCTGAAAAAACATTCTAAGTCAGTGTTTGATCAAATTACTTTGGAATCGGAGGCTATACTGGTTTGTGGAGGTGCTTGGAATGTTCTTTTGAACCATACCCTGGATTCTAGCAGTACCAAGAGGAACAGATCACATCTGTCACGATACATTAATAAGACAATAAAAGAATTGGGATCATAGATGTTTGGCGCGAGTGCCACCCTTTAGAAAGGGACTATATGTTCTACTCTCGACCACATTTAGTACACACAAGAATAGACTATTTTTTCATGAATAAAAAAGATCGATTTTGAATTATTGACTGTAAAATAGGAGTAGCTGATTTATCAGATCATAGTGCCTTGAATCTCACATTAGACCGTGGCAGGAAAAATAAGACCACAAATTGGAGATTGAACGTTGGGATGTTAAACGACCAGCAATTAATTGAAAAGATTAAAAAGGAAATAAATCTATACCAAAAAGAGAACGATAATGGGGAAACTGATGCAACGATAGTATGGGATGCCTTGAAAGCGGTAACAAGGGGTAAATTAATATCTCATGCAGCATTTATCAAAAAGAAAAGGCTTCTAGAATTTAAGACTGTCACAGAACAACTTGAAGTATTAGAACAAATACATAAGAGGAATAACAAAAATAAAGAAGCTATAAATAAAGTAATGGAAGCAAGAAAAAAGGTTGATAGTTTATTAACTGAAGAAGTAGAAAAGAAAATAAGATTTTTAAAACAAACATATTATGAAGGTGGACCTAAATCAACAAAATCTCTCGCTAGACAATTAAGAAATAAACAATAACAGAACACCATCTATAAAATTAGAGACCCCAAACCAAAACTTTAGTATATGAACCAGAAGAGATCGAAGAGGCATTTGAAGGTTATTACTCAAACCTTTACTCTCAACCTGAATCGGCAGATGATAATCGGCAGATGATAATCGGCAGATGATTGAATTATTTCTAAATTCATTAGATCTTCCAAATATAGGCGAGTCACAAAATGCTATATTATGTACACAAATAACAGAAAAAGAATTGGAAAATACAATTTAAAAAATGAAATTGAATAAGTCCCCAGGAACAGACGGCTTCCATTGTTATTGGCTTCACTCAACCACATGCTCAAAACCGGCGTCTTGCCTCCCTCATGGAATGAAGCTATAATTACTGTTATCCATAAGGCAGGCAAAGACAAGGAACTCTGTGAAAACTACAGACCCATATCAATATTAAACTGTGACTATAAGATCTACACATCCATTATATCTAACCGATTCCAAACCTTTGTGTCTGAACTGATAGACGAAGACCAATCAGGCTTTATAAGGGGACGACAAACCCAAGATAATATTAGGAGGACTCTGCACATTATAGAAGAAATACAGAAAAAGAAAAGTGCTGTTCTGCTAAGTTTAGATGCTGAAAAGGCCTTCGATTGTGTCAGTTGGAGGTTCCTCTTTCACTGCTTAGAAAGATTTGGTCTTAATACACAATCAATTAACTCCATCAAAGCACTATATAAAGATCCAAAAGCCAGAATTAAGATAAATAGTAGTCTAACAAATTGGTTTAGGCTGGAAAGATCGGCCAGACAGGGATGCGGGCTGGCCCAGACGCTGTTTGCCATCTTTATAGATCTTTATAGAGCCTTTGGCTCAAGCAAGTAGAGAGGACAAGGGAATAGAAGGAGTCAAAATCAGGGATACAGATCATAAAGTTGGGTTATTCGCAGACGACATCCTGATATACCTACAGTAAAACAACCAGAGAAATGTTTACCACAATTAATGGACCTCTTAAATTACTATGGATATCTCTCAGGCTACAAATTAAATATTGGAAAAACACAAGTACTCACCTTTAACTATAACCCTTCAAAAGAAATTACACAAAAATATATATTTAAATGGAATAAAAAAATCTATTGACTACTTGGGGATTCAAATTACAAATAACCTTAATGCACTGAAACCAACTACAAGGCTTTCAATCAACAACTGTATAAAGATATAGGAAGATAGAACATTTTACTGCTGGACTTACACGCAAGAATTGAAACTATTAAGATGAACGTGCTGCCAAGAATTCTGTACCTCTTCCAATCATTACCAGTGTGGATACCAAAACAACAATGGGAAAAACCAAGAATTAAATTCACTACACTTCAAATACCAAAAAGGAGGGTGGACTGGCACTGCCAAACTTGGAAGAATACTTTTATGCAGCACAGCTCAAACCTTTGATTCTTTGATGTGATTCTGAATATGTTGCTAAGTGGAAGAAAATAGAAATGAACAATGTATACCATGTACAAGCTATGATTGCCAATAGAAAACTGTTTAAAGAAAATGTAAACAAACTAGATGCCATTACCAAATTCACACTGGAGGTTTGGTTCAAAGTTGTCTCAAAAGTTAAAATAGAGAAAGAAATAAAACTATTTAGCTGGCCTGCATTCGATACATATTTCAAACCAGGAAGTATGAACATAAAATTCCAGGAATAGTCAAACCAAGGGTTGAATATTTTTGACAAATTTGTCCAAAAAGGGGAATTTGCAAGCTTCCAAAACCTACAACCAAAATGTAACTTAGCTCACAAAGACAGAAATACTTAGCGACTCTTACAAAAATAAAAGTGGTAAAGCTATATCTAAACTGTACAAAGGGTTGTTAGCAAATAGGAAAACATCAACATTATATATTAGAGACAAATGGGTCACTGAATTCAAAGAAGAAATAACTGAAGAATCATGGTATAAAGTATGTGAAACTCAAATAACCACCTCCAGTTCTAGAAATTGGAAGTTATTCTGCTGGAAGAACATGGTACGATACTTTATCACTCCAAAAATAAAGAAGGCGGCATCATCAATAACTCAATCTTGCTGGAGACTTTGTGGCGAACAAGATGTGGGACACGCACATATTTTTTGGCAATGCTACAAATTAACATATTTCTGGACTTGTATTGGTAAAGAAATCAACAAAATATTTGGATACAACTTGCCAAAAACTTGGTTGGTGTTTTACTTTGGGTGTGTAACAGGAAGAGACATTAAAAAAGAAGATTATTATTTGTTCAAATTTTTTCTGGCAGCCTCAAAAAAAGCAATAACACGCAAATGGTACAAAGAAGACCCCCCCTCACTAAACAACTGGAAGGACATTGTGGAAGAAATTCACACCATGGAGAGACTTACATTCAACATTAAGTTGCAACAAGCAGCATGTGAAAACCACTGGAAAAAGTGGAAAAAATATGTGAATAACAACTGACCCCATGTTTTTGTGTATTCTATTTCTGTTGTATTTGTTGTAATGCTAAAAATTTAAATAAAATTTAAGTATAAAAAAAAAAGAAAAGCGGGACAGAAAATATGGGACCTTTTAATATGCTGTCAAGCAGGTGATTGACTTTGATGATGGTTCGGGCTCTGTGCTGAGGATCCAGCCCCTACGAAGTCACCGTGATGAAGCTGTGTATGAGTGCACCTCCAGCAACGCCGCAGGCTTGGCCAGCGTCAGTGCCAAGCTCACTGTGCTGGAAGGTAAGTTTGGACTCCTCTCACCTCTCTGATTTTCAGACACTTCCATGTCTTCCATTCATTGTCTGTTTAAAATCTGATATTGACAATGTGCTATTGATAGTGTAAAATATTTGGAGACAACTACTGCTGGTATTTTGGCTTGTACAAATATACATTGAGTTGATAATAAACAATAAAACCATAACTAATTAAATAATGAGGTGGAGTTGCCTTGTGTATGAATTGTGCTATAGAAATAAACTTGCCTTGAGACAAAATAACATTTCCACCCAATCTCAATCCCAGAGCTGTAAAGTAGATCATAAAAAATACACATGCACCTGTCCCATGAAAGATCAGAGTCTATTTGTGCTGCACTGCTTTTTCTTCACAACAAGAAAGTCCTGTGTTGGATTTCACCTCCAGACAGGGCCTTTTCTGCGTGGTGTTTGCAGGTTTTCCCCGTGCGTGACTGTGTAGGTTCCCTTTAGGTGCTCCGGTTTCCCCTACCACTAAGATTATGTTAAATACGTCTGGCATGCGCCTCCCGTTGGCAACCCCACTTCCATCACAATGAGGAGTCAGCCGAAAAAAATATTATAAATATAATAAATAAATAAAAGCGATTTGTGAAAGACACTTCGTAAATAATAATTATAATAATTAACTAACTTATTTATCATATGTTTGACTAATAAAAAGAGATGTCTAACCAATGTCCAACCCAACGGACCAATATAAATAGTGTTGCAAACATAACTTAAAGCTAGCGACATGCTGCTGTTTGCCCATCCACAGGTTTGGGAAGTTGTGGCCTGTACTTATTATTGTTTGTCATAAGACTTATTGTTTCAAGGGTTCAGTGCCAATCTGTAAATTAAAAATGCTCCAGATAGCTGGTGAGCTGGGTTTAAATCGTAGTGAGACAAGTTAGTTTTAACCGACAGATGATGTGTTGTTGAATTAGTAATCCATCAGCTGCAGTATCCGTCAGCGGCAATATTAACACTTCAGTGGCTAGAATCTCACACTTCTATATTCATGTAGCACTACCAAAACTTCTTTGTGATAAAATAAAGTAGCTCCAGGTTTGGTCAAGTAACATACCTTATTGGTGGTCTAGTTACTGTGTTTCATGACTTAAACACTGTGAATAACCAGAACCTACAAGGTTCTTCGCTACAAACTGTCAAAGCCTTTTCTGGTTGTCTTTGCAGAGGATCAAATCCCACATGGATTCCCCACCATCGACATGGGCCCTCAGCTTAAGGTGGTGGAGCGCACGCGCACCGCCACGCTGCTGTGCGCAGCCAGTGGGAGTCCAGACCCAGAGATCCACTGGTTCAAAGACTTTGTGCCAGTGGACGTCAGCGGCATCACGGGCAGAGTCAAGCAGCTGCGCTCAGGTGCTCCATCATCACTACAATATCGCACATCACTGTTCAAGTTTAGTTTTTATACATTATTGTATAATAGCATTTATTATCTTTAATCTGAGGACTTGAATCCATTCATGTGAAAAATACATTGCGAGATAAGACAAGGGCTGTTTCTAAATACTTTCAACATTGGGACCAACTTTCTGGAAAAAACAAACTAATTAATTTATTGAAAGACTAATTAAAATAAGGATCAATTACAGCCCTATTTGAAAGCAAGTTTAAGTGGAGGTTCCAGTCCTCGCTAAAGCTGCTCTAATGGCCCCTCTGTGCTGCTCCTCAGGTGGTACCCCAATCAGAGGTAAGAATGCTGGAATGTGCTCTGCGTCTGCTGTGACCACTAACCCTCTAACTAAATATGTCAGTCATCCATCAGTGTTGGGATAATAGTCTAACAGTCTTCACAAAATAACAAAAATTAGGGTTGTCAAAAGTATATGCATATTATGTATCATTTCAAATACTGTTATTTGGTATTTTGAGTTCTTACAGGTGAAAATGATGTTATTCCCTTAATAAGTAGGATGGGCAAGAACACTTTGTACTATATTTCATAGTCATCGTCTTGGCTCAAACCTTGATGAAAGCATTGTCTGCACATGCCAGAGTAAAACAACCATTACAGCTCAAGCTTAATGGAGGAAAAGGAACTTTTCAACAATATTTGGACATGAGACAAGCGCTATATTGAATCCTCACACATTTTCTATCTTCTAAAGTATTCTGCAAATGTTTTCCTTGTCACAACATTGTTCCTCATCAGTCACAGACCTAAAGTGTTTTTCAAACCCTGCAACACTATTATCATGCACTTCGACCCCAACCATGTAACTCCGCCCCTTCTGTCTAAAAGTTCATGTCTCAGTTCTGTAAAGGCAGACATCACACTCAATTTTCAGCCTTTTAAAACTAGTATTCCCCATAAATCAGATTTGGTAATATATCATTTGAAAATTCTGTTCTTTTCAACTGGGTTTGCAGACAAAAATTTTAGAAATTTGAAAAAAATAAAACAAATTCCTCTCTCTGATGGTAGCATAGGGAGTTACAGGAGGAAAGCATTTTTACCATAAATTCAGACATTTCTGTCATGTTCTTGAAAAATACGAGCATTCTTGGATCCGAATTTAGCAGAATGTTATTTAACACTTTTACGACTTTTGGAAAGTGTTGCTCATTCTTTTTACTCTTGTTCAATTATACATGTTTATGTTTACTTTGGAATTCGAAAGCATGAGTATTCTCAACATGAACACACTCTCAATACATGAACTGGGCAACAGGAGTTTAATCTGAACAGACCAAGTCGGACACATTAGTGCATGAAAAATATGTATTTGTTTGTTGACACTTGCAAAGGGGAGGTCACTGCTGCTGTAGATGATCTCAGATCCCCCGGGGTTAAGCTGGGGCGTAGGCGGAGCCGGAGCAGGAGCCTAGAGCAGGAGCCTAGAGCAGGAGCCTAGAGCAGGAGCCAGAGCACGAGCCAGAGCAGGAGCCTAGAGCAGGAGCCTGGAGAAGGAGCCAGCGCAGGGAGCCAGAGCAGGAGCCAGAGGAGGAGCCAGGGCAGGAGCCTAGAGCAGGAGACTAGAGCAGGAGCCTAGAGCAGGAGCCTAGAGCAGGAGCCTGGAGAAGGAGCCAGCGCAGGGAGCCAGAGCAGGAGCCAGAGGAGGAGCCAGGGCAGGAGCCTAGAGCAGGAGACTAGAGCAGGAGCCTAGAGCAGGAGCCAGAGCACGAGCCAGAGCAGGAGCCTAGAGCAGGAGCCTAGAGCAGGAGCCAGAGCAGGAGCCAGAGCAGGAGCCAGAGCAGGAGCCAGAGCAGGAGCCTAGAGTAGGAGCCTAGAGCAGGAGGCTAGCACAGGAGCCTAGAGCAGGAGCCTAGAGCAGGAGCCTAGAGTAGGAGCCTAGAGCAGGAGGCTAGAGTAGGAGCCTAGAGCAGGAGCCTAGAGCAGGAGCCTGGAGAAGGAGCCAGCGCAGGGAGCCAGAGCAGGAGCCAGAGGAGGAGCCAGGGCAGGAGCCTAGAGCAGGAGACTAGAGCAAAAGCCAGAGCAGGAGCCAGAGCAGGAGCCTAGAGTAGGAGCCTAGAGCAGGAGGCTAGAGTAGGAGCCTAGAGCAGGAGCCTAGAGAAGGAGCCTAGAGCAGGAGCCTAGAGCAGGAGCCTGGAGCAGGAGCCTAGAGCAGGAGCCTGAGACTAGAGCAGGAGCCAGAGCAGGAGCCTAGAGTAGGAGCCTAGAGCAGGAGGCTAGAGTAGGAGCCTAGAGCAGGAGCCTAGAGCAGGAGCCAAGAGCAGGAGCCAGAGGAGGAGCCAGAGCAGGAGCCAGAGGAGGAGCCAGGGCAGGAGCCTAGAGCAGGAGACTAGAGCAGGAGCCAAAGCAGGAGCCTAGAGTAGGAGCCTAGAGCAGGAGGCTAGAGTAGGAGCCTAGAGCAGGAGCCTAGAGAAGGAGCCAGAGCAGGAGCCTAGAGCAGGAGCCTAGAGCAGGAGCCAGAGCTAGAGCAGGAGCCTAGAGCAGGAGCCTAGAGAAGGAGCCAGAGCAGGAGCCAGAGCAGGAGCCTAGAGCAGGAGGCTAGAGCAGGAGCCTAGAGAAGGAGCCAGAGCAGGAGCCTAGAGCAGGAGCCTGGAGCAGGAGCCTAGAGCAGGAGCCTAGAGCAGGAGCCAGAGCAGGAGCGAGAGCAGGAGCCAGAGCAGGAGCCTAGAGTAGGAGCCTAGAGTAGGAGCCTAGAGCAGGAGCCTAGAGCAGGAGCCTAGAGCAGGAGCCTAGAGCAGGAGCCATAGCAGGAGCCTAGAGCAGGAGCCTAGAGAAGGAGCCAGAGCAGGAGCCAGAGTAGGAGCCTAGAGTAGGAGGCTAGAGCAGGAGCCTAGAGTAGGAGCCTAGAGTAGGAGGCTAGAGCAGGAGCCTAGAGCAGGAGCCTAGAGCAGGAGCCTAGAGTAGGAGCCTAGAGCAGGAGCCTAGCGCAGGAGCCAGAGCAGGAGCCTAGAGTAGGAGCCAGAGGAGGAGCCAGGGCAGGAGCCTAGAGCAGGAGCCTAGAGCAGGAGCCTAGAGCAGGAGCCAGAGGAGGATCCAGAGCAGGAGCCAGAGGAGGAGCCAGGGCAGGAGCCTAGTGCAGGAGCTGAGGCTGGAGGCTGGCAGAGCTGTGTGATTGGCTGAGGCTGGAGGCTGGCAGAGCTGTGTGATTGGCTGAGGCTCGAGGCTGGCAGAGCTGTGTGATTGGCTGAGGCTCGAGGCTGGCAGAGCTGTGTGATTGGCTGAGGCTCGAGGCTGGCAGAGCTGTGTGATTGGCTGAGGCTCGAGAGGCTGGCAGAGATCTATGTATGATTGGCTGGAGGCTGGCAGAGCTGTGTGATTGGCTGAGGCTGGCAGAGATCTTTGTATGATTAGCTGGCCATGGACGGGTGAGTTGTGGCACGGTCTTTCAGTCTAAATTTGCGCTTCAGCTTCATAATTATTATCTATAAAACATTTGATTGAGACAATTGATATTTCTACACAAAAATAATGAATAATGAAAACATGGAATTCTAAACTGATTCAGGAAAGTTTTGAAATGCTACTGTTTTTCCTTTTGCTGTTCAATTGTTTTTTGTTGTTGTTGTTAATCGGTTAGGTTATAGCTCACTATACTTTTAACAACCCTATAAACTAAATAAATGCCAGAGGCCACAGTCGACTCGGGATGGGATGATATATTTATCATGTTTTACCATGCAAAAAGTATGGACATGAATAACTTTGCATCTTGATTCAAGGTCAGGATACCCTTTTGTGGACTGCTTGCTTCTGTCCCATCGACAAGTGACTTCTGTGTCCCATTGTGAAGTCAGATACAGTACTAATAACACCAATAATACCGTCATGCTTCCTTCTGAGTTAACATACTGACAGTAATGGAGCATTAAACAAGTTTATACCATGGTCTTTAATGCCACAGAAAAACAATTAAATTGACGTAAACATTCTAACAAATGTGTCTAATAAGTGTTTGTTGGATTAATTCATTTGAAACACATTCAGAATTGATTTTTAATATGACATTGTGTGTCATGACACACAATGGTTAGGCTATGTTTACACAGCCTCACAATCTCTGAAGAATTACTTTGATTCACAAAAATGTGAGGTTTTGTGAGTTTCATAATAACTTTCTGTAAGACCATGGTCTAAGCTTATTAACCCATCACTCTTTATTTTATCAAACATCGTACACGTTGCAATTTTAAATCAATTGGTTATTAGAATAAGGTAATTATATTTTGAATATTTAAATAATTCTAAATAAATAATTATATTTATAATAATTGATTTAGCAAATCCACCGGCAGCAGACTGCTAACATTCCCAAAGTCAGGACACACACTCACACAGACACACACACATAGACACACACTCACGCACACTCACACACACACAGACACAAACAGACACACACACAGACACACACAGTCTCACACAGAGACAGACACACACAGACACACACACACACACACACACACAGAGACAGACACACACAGACACACACACACAGAGACAGACACACACACACACACACAGAGACAGACACACAGACTCACACAGACACACACACACACACACACACACAGAGAGACAGACACACACAGACTCACACAGACACACACACACCACAGAGCGCATCATTGTGTTTGTGCACTGTACAGTCGTTGTGTACCTAATACATAAACAACAGTATTTATGTTACTGGGGCGACAGTGGCTCAGTTGGTTGAGCATTTGCCTTTGGGGCTGAAGGTCATAGGTTCACAACACTTAACCCCACTTTGCCCGAAGGAGCATTGGGTGGCAGCTCTCATATTTGGGGTGCTGAGCACTTCTAAAAATTTGGTAGACCACATGTTCTTTTTTACTCTCTGTTTTACTCTCTTCTGCTCCTAAAAATCATACCAGGAAGACATTCTGTTCTGTTTGTCTCCTTATTTACCATTTTATACAAAACGTCAGACTGTCTTACCCTTTCCTCCTATACATGATGTCTTATGAACTCACACAATCCAGAACCTTCTAAGGCCCCGACTCCACCGGGCGCGTAAAACGGACGACGGATCCGTCCAAACATGTCCGTTTCATCTCCGTCTCCGTTATCTCCATGAGGGTGAATGGAAGTGGCTCCACTGCCTCCAACATGCGCGTCGGACGGATTCCGTCAACGGAGGGTGCAACGGACGCGGACGGACGAAATAGAAACAATCCTATTTGTTCCGTCGACGCGTGTCGGGTCCGTTTTCCATTGAAAATGCAATGGAATAATATATTTACCACATTATTAAACATGTATTGATATATGCTGTAGTCATTGGTTATAAGTATTAGTTAATGACAATGATTATTAACAAACATGTGTAATTTTTTTCATGTATTAATTTAAATAATTGTTTCCTGATCGTACATCTACCATTTATTTTTCGCATAATGTTAATACGCTAAACTTTACATACACCTCGCTCTTTTTTCTCTCGCTCTGTCCCGTCTACCTGCGAGGCGCTCTCTCCTCACCACGCACACACACACATTACACACACACATTACACACACACACATTACACACACACATTACACACACACACATTACACACAGAGCTGCACTTATGAGAGACAGATCTCACAACACTGGATATGTTTGAGTTCTTTTCTCCTTTCTCCCTCCCCTTTTTCCAATTGCTTTCAATAAGTTTTACCTCATCCATCGCGACGTCCTCAATGCTTCAATATGCCGTGCTTTGCACAGATCATAGCCACAGCTCATACACATCACACACCGCTTCTTCTACAGTGCCTTGCGAAAGTATTCGGCCCCCTTGAACCTTTCAACATTTTGCCACATTTCAGGCTTCAAACATAAAGATATAAAATTAAATTTTTTGTCATGAATCAACAACAAGTGGGACACAATCGTTAAGTGGAACGAAATTTATTGGATAATTTAAACTTTATTAACAAATAAAAAACTGAAAAGTGGGGCTCGCAATATTATTCGGCCCCTTTACTTTCAGTGCAGCAAACTCAGTCCAGAAGTTCAGTGAGGATCTTTGAATGATCCAATGTTGTCCTAAATGACTGATGATGATAAATAGAATGCATCTGTGTGTAATCAAGTCTCCGTATAAATGCACCTGCTCTTTGATAGTCTCAGGGTTCTGTTTAAAGCACAGAGAGAACCATGAAGACAAAGGAACACACCAGGCAGGTCCGAGATACTGTTGTTGAGAAGTTTAAAGCCGGATTTGGATACAAAAAGATTTCCCAAGCTTTAAACATCTCAAGGAGCACTGTGCAAGCAATTATATTGAAATGGAATGGAATGGAGTATCAGACCACTGCAAATCTACCAAGACCCGGCCGTCCCTCCAAACTTTCATCTCAAACAAGGAGAAGACTGATCAGAGATGCAGCCAAGAGGCCCATGATCGCTCTGGATGAACTGCAGATAACTACAGCTGAGGTGGGGATGGTGTGTTCAGGGTGATGAACTGTCGTCGTTTTGCATTGTGGCCAAAAAGTTAAATTTTGGTTTCATCTGACCAGAGCACCTTCTCCCACATGTTTGGTGTGTCTCCCAGGTGGCTTGTGGCAAACTTTTTATGGATATCTTTGAGAAATGGCTTTCTTCTTGCCACTCTTCCATAAAGGCCAGATTTGTGCAGTGCTCGACTGATTGTTGTCCTATGGACAGACTCTCCCACCTCAGCTGTAGTTATCTGCAGTTCATCCAGAGTGATCATGGGCTTTAAACAGAACCCTGAGACTATCAAAGAGCAGGTGCATTCATACGGAGACTTGATTACACACAGGTGCATTCTATTTATCATCATCAGTCATTTAGGACAACATTGGATCATTCAAAGATCCTCACTGAACTTCTGGACTGAGTTTGCTGCACTGAAAGTAAAGGGGCCAAATAATATTGCACGCCCCACTTTACAGTTTTTTATTTGTTAAAAAAGTTTAAATTATCCAATAAATTTTGTTCCACTTCACGATTGTGTCCCACTTGTTGTTGATTCATGATTTTTATTTTTATATCTTTATGTTTGAAGCCTGAAATGTGGCCAAATGTTGAAAGGTTGAAGGGGGCCGATTACTTTCGCAAGGCACTGTATTTAAAACTATCGCGGCTGCCTGTTGCCTAAAGCCGCGGAGAGGCGAGTTGGGTCCGATAAAAGTGTATGACGCGCTAAATAAGTATAGAAAACAAACGAAGAGGCTGGATCATAATAAACGCTGCGGTCACAGGCCCAAACACACATACACGCACCCGCCTCCCACCACACACACACACACACAGGCGCTCTCACGCCCACGCTCACGCACACACGCACGCCGACAATACATGACTCCTCCATCAGCCAAACATTAATTTTTTCATACAATGCCCAAACATGTCTCCTACAAAAACAAAGCAGGCTGATAAACGCACAGCCAGAGCTGCTGCTGCAGCCGGTTTGACCACTAGTCCGTTTTACGGACGACCGACGGACAACAGCCAACGTGCGTCAACGGAGACGCGCCCGGTGGAGTCCAGGCCTCAAGGGACTACATGTGTTATTTTTACTGATAAAGTATTGTTTGTTGCAGTGGAGAGTGGACTCCTCAGACAAGAGCGAAGGTCAAACTAACACATGTCGCTCTTTGTGACCTCAGGAGCTCTGCAGATTGAGAGCAGTGAGGAATCGGACCAGGGCAAATATGAGTGTGTGGCTTCAAACAACGTCGGGACCCGATTCTCTGCTCCGGCTAACCTCTACGTGCGGGGTGAGACTATCCAGAGCCTGTCCTGGGACACCAGGGTTCAATGGCCTCTGTAGGCTACTGGGTGATTCATCAATTTTTCACACTCAACTTTTAAAAAAATAATTTACATTCTCTAACTGAGATACTATTTCCTGAAGCTGAACAATTTAAAAGGCTTTAACTGACATGAAATAATGGATTAATTTATCATTCTTCATGCATTAGCTCATGATGAGTTGTTTATCAACTGTGCTATACAAATAAGCTTGCATCCTGAACTCATCCTGAACAAATGCACAGATCATTGATGCATTTATTCATGAGTAGTTACTAAAACTGTTATAAATGCCATAGTTGCATACCACCTGAATATTTTAGGCAAAGTAGAGGAATCGAAAAGTACACCAGAAGAAAATGACATTCATTCGCTCAACACAGCAGCATTGTACCTGTTTCAGATGTAAAGACATGGGCTGTTTTTACTCTGCGTTATTCTGGTTTTCTCCCTCCATCTCTGTTTCTTTTACCTTTCTTTATTTTTTATCATTTGTTACATTTTTATTCTACCCAAATCTGGCGCACTTTTATCCTGACCTCAGATCAGCGGGAAGGTTGGTGTTCACTGTTGCAACTTGAGCTGAGGGCACTGGCCCCCGGGTTCGTTGCAGGCCCCTACCTGTGTGTGTGTGTGTGTGTGTGTGTGTGTGTGTGTGTGTGTGTGTGTGTGTGTGTGTGTGTGTGTGTGTGTGTGTGTGTGTGTGTGTGTGTGTGTGTGTGTGTGAGCCGTGCACGTGTTTCTGTGTGTGTGAGCCGTGCACGTGTTTCTGTGTGTGTGAGCCGTGCACGTGTTTCTGTGTGTGTGAGCCGTGTATGAGCCGTGCACGTGTTTCTGTGTGTGTGAGCCGTGTATGAGCCGTGCACGTGTTTCTGTGTGTGTGAGCCGTGTATGAGCCGTGCACGTGTTTCTGTGTGTGTGAGCCGTGTATGAGCCGTGCACGTGTTTCTGTGTGTGTGAGCCGTGTATGAGCCGTGCACGTGTTTCTGTGTGTGTGAGCCGTGTATGAGCCGTGCACGTGTTCCTGTGTGTGTGAGCCGTGCACGTGTTCCTGTGTGTATGAGCCGTGCATGTGTTCTTGTGTGTGTGTGTGTGTGAGCCGTGTATGAGCCGTGCACGTGTTCCTGTGTGTGTGAGCCGTGTATGAGCCGTGCACGTGTTCCTGTGTGTGTGAGCCGTGTATGAGCCGTGCACGTGTTTCTGTGTGTGTGAGCCGTGCACGTGTTTCTGTGTGTGTGAGCCGTGCACGTGTTCCTGTGTGTGTGAGCCGTGTATGAGCCGTGCACGTGTTTCTGTGTGTGTGAGCCGTGCACGTGTTTCTGTGTGTGTGAGCCGTGTATGAGCCGTGCACGTGTTTCTGTGTGTGTGAGCCGTGTATGAGCCGTGCACGTGTTTCTGTGTGTGTGAGCCGTGTATGAGCCGTGCACGTGTTTCTGTGTGTGTGAGCCGTGTATGAGCCGTGCACGTGTTTCTGTGTGTGTGAGCCGTGTATGAGCCGTGCACGTGTTTCTGTGTGTGTGAGCCGTGTATGAGCCGTGCACGTGTTTCTGTGTGTGTGAGCCGTGTATGAGCCGTGCACGTGTTTCTGTGTGTGTGAGCCGTGTATGAGCCGTGCACGTGTTTCTGTGTGTGTGAGCCGTGTATGAGCCGTGCACGTGTTCCTGTGTGTGTGAGCCGTGTATGAGCCGTGCACGTGTTCCTGTGTGTATGAGCCGTGCATGTGTTCCTGTGTGTGTGTGTGTGTGTGAGCCGTGTATGAGCCGTGCACGTGTTCCTGTGTGTGTGAGCCGTGTATGAGCCGTGCACGTGTTCCTGTGTGTGTGAGCCGTGTATGAGCCGTGCACGTGTTTCTGTGTGTGTGAGCCGTGCACGTGTTTCTGTGTGTGTGAGCCGTGCACGTGTTCCTGTGTGTGTGAGCCGTGTATGAGCCGTGCACGTGTTTCTGTGTGTATGAGCCGTGCACGTGTTTCTGTGTGTGTGAGCCGTGTATGAGCCGTGCACGTGTTTCTGTGTGTGTGAGCCGTGTATGAGCCGTGCACGTGTTTCTGTGTGTGTGAGCCGTGCACGTGTTTCTGTGTGTGTGAGCCGTGTATGAGCCGTGCACGTGTTCCTGTGTGTGTGAGCCGTGTATGAGCCGTGCACGTGTTCCTGTGTGTGTGAGCCGTGTATGAGCCGTGCATGTGTTCCTGTGTGTGTGAGCCGTGTATGAGCCGTGCACGTGTTCCTGTGTGTGTGAGCCGTGTATGAGCCGTGCACGTGTTCCTGTGTGTGTAAGCCGTGTATGAGCCGTGCACGTGTTCCTGTGTGTGTGTGTGTGTGGTTGCAACAGGAGTCAGTTGCATGTTCACTCTACGTCATGGCATCTTTTTCTTCCCTTCAAATGCTTGTCAGACTTATTATCCTTTTTCTTATAATTCAATTGGGAATTATAATAGATCAACCAGAGATTGATAAATGAACATTTTGTTTGAGTAAAATGAATAGTTCTTGTGTGGGAAGAGAATGGAGTAGAGTACTTTTGAATGGGCTTGTTTCATGTCCCCTCTGCATGTCCTCAGCGTGCTCTATCACCGTGCACTAACCTCCTGGATGAAATTGTTATCTTATTTTTTGCTGACCTTTCCCTGAAGTCATTGTCAGACTTCACCTTTATTTGACATATATATTGTTTTCACACGCACCACACCCCCAAAAAATCTGGAATATTATTTACTGGATGAAATGTGAAACATGAAACTGACTATGATGGACAAAGGACAGACTTTGAGCGACATGGGACAGACTGTGGTTATATTTTGTTTATAAAAATAAGTCATGGTTGTGAAACATATTTGCACTATTAAACTTGTGATCCTGTTTCACTTTTTAAAGTAGCAATATGTAATATTTACATGTCAAGTCATTGGCCCCAATATTTCAAAAGGCGTTATTAAATCATGCTTTCTGTTGTTTTCATTTTGGTGTCCTGCCCTCCGCCGTTTCGCCAATCAGGAAGTCCCATGGAAGTGAGTGATTCGCGTTCCCAGAACTCTTCGCGGCTAATCTCACCGGTAAAATAACATGTGGCCACAGAACTAAAAAAGGTCTTATTATTGCACTCAAATCATTAATGACAAAACAAAGACTAAAACCAGGATTTATATCGGGACGCCTTTGATGAAGTCAGCGGATAAGTTTTCGTGTGATGCAAAACTTGCTGGTTTGAGTGCGTTCTTCATGGACATTTAAATGAGCTGCATCCAGAGCACCACCATCGTGTGAAGGTGGCTAAGCCTTTGACCTGACACTCCACCGACCCGGGTTCGAGTCCAGGCAGGGTCAGAAATTACATAATATTACATTCCATGACAAATTGTTCAAAAACCGGCAAAAGACGAAGATCAACACGTTTTTTGCAGATTAAAGCTTAATTGTAAAAATAATAATTTGAGACCATATGTACCCAATTAAAACAATGTTAGTCTCTATTTGATGTGGGACATGTACAGGTGTGTCTAAAAAATGGGGAATAAATAAAATTTAAGGGTGATGTCCTCTGGAGGAAACCCTGATGTTGATACGCTGAAGAAATATGTTCCAACATCCATTCTTCCCACTCCTATTTTAGACATCAATTGCTTATTTATTTTTTAATAATCTATGTATAATTACATTGGTTTTATTTTGTTTGTTTTTTCATCTCAAATGTCCAAATAAAAAATACATAAAAAAACATTCAATCAACATTAGCACTGCTCATAGCAATGTGAATGGAGATAGACAAACCTATTCCTTGTGTTTGCTGCTGGATTTGGTGTGTATCTGGCAACCTGAGTCAGGGAGAGTGCGAGAGGACTACACAATATTGACTGTGACGGCAGTACCACTTTTGGCCAGATGTTTACATACTGCTCCTTTAATGCTTCATGCATAATACATCACTTATAGATTATATGATTTAGAACTAGAACTTTAATCAACCAGGCAAGAAGCATTGGATCTGGTGAAATCAATACTACTGAACCCTACATGTATCTGATAAAAAGCATTCTCTAATGCCCGCACCCTGTCCATCAGCATCATTTTAAGGGTTAAGTTGGGAGATGGGTGCACATCTGACATGAGCATCCACGGAATGATACAGCATGAAACAGATTCACATTCCGGATTCAGATTCCGTTTATTTGCCATTTGCAGTAAAAAAAACCACATTGGGATACATTAGCAAAAAGTCTCCAGTGTGCACAGACAAATACAGACATAAAACAACATTAAAAGTACGGAAATAAAACAGTAAACAAGTGTCACTGTGAAATCGATCGACTAAAACAGTTTCAAAACAAGTGCAAATCATTAAAGTGCTCTGTTCACACTGATAACAGCCTGTGGATAAAAACTGTTGGCATAACGAGATGTCCTGCATCTCAGAGAACGATATCTTCTGCCAGAGGGAAGAAGCTGGAACATGGCTTTTCTAGGGTGGCCAGAAGAGTCATTAACAATCCTAAGAGCTTTGTTTAAAAGTCTGGATTTATAAAGAACCTCCAGAACAGGAAGCTCACAGCCCACGGTCCTCTTTGCAGAGCGGAGCACCTTGTTTAAAGCTCTCTTTTCTTTATCTGTGATGTTTCCAAACCACACAGACACAGAACCAACAAGTAAACTCTCAATGGTGCAGCCATAAAAGTTAAGCAGAATCTTAGAGTTAGTGGTAAATTCTCTAAGTTTACGCAGAAAGTAGAGACGCTGACGAGCTTTCTTAACGACTCGGTCAGTGTTTTTAAACCATTTCAGGTTAGACAGAGTTAAACCCAGAAACTTGCTCCTCTACGATCTGCACCTGGGAGTTGTCGATTACGACAGGCAAATGAGAACTATTGCGACTGAAGTCGTAGACCAGTTCACATGTTTTGGATGCGTTCAACTGGAGGTTGTTAGTTTGACTCCACTGAACCACATTTTGTATCTCTGCTCTATAAGAGGATTCATCAGTGTCACTGATGAGACCGATGATGGTGGTGTCATCAGCATATTTGATGATCAAGTTTGAGTCAGAGGAGGACACACAATCGTGAGTGTACAAAGTAAAAAGCAAAGGACTCAAAATACATCCCTGAGGAGAACCAGTGCTCACAGAAACAACATCAGAAAAACACTCATGGATTTTCACTCTCTGAGATCTGTCAGTTAAAAAGCTAAAAATCCATTTACACATGGCAACACTTACCACTAGAGACATGAGCTTTTCAATCAGTTTACCTGGGACAAGGCAGTTAAAAGCAGAGCTATAATCGATGAAAAGCATTCTTGCCACAGATTTACTAACAATCAACAACTCTTCCAGAAAATGCATGTGTGAAAGCAGCAGTAGTTACAGTTGTGGTTAAAAAGAAATGTCTTGCCCATATTTTTTAGATTATGAATGATAATGCCAAACAGGTTTCATTGATCGTTAGTGGTTGTGTGAAGCCATTTCTTGTCAAATAAAGGTGATTGCAAAGTGATGATGATGTTAGAAACCTTTTCTCAGCCTGATCCGAAGTCCCACTTCTCAATAGCATGCATTGCTCATTTAACATTAATGACAGCTTCCAGTCTTTTGTGGTAGTTGTGGATAAGGTTCTTTATCCTCTTTGATTCCCATTCTTATTGACCATAAGACTCCAGTTTGTGTAAATTCCTGGGCCGCCTTGCATGAACTGTTTCAGATTTCCAGAGTGGCTTATTATATCATTTGAAAATAGAAAATGTTTACTTTCAATAAATGGCAAATGAGTGAAGTAGTTGTGTTATATATATATATAATGTTGCAATGGACCCCCCCCCCACTCACACACATGCATGCATAAACACTCATACAGTGAAATATAAATAAAATAAAATAATGCTCCTCTGTTGTTTAAACCTTGCCCCAGCCTTATGGTGGCTCGTTTGCCTCCTCAGCTCTATTCTCTCCACAGTTCGCAGAGTGCCTCCACGCTTCTCCATCCCGCCCTCCAACCTCGAGGTGATGCCAGGGGGGGCCCTCAACCTCACTTGTGTGGCTGTGGGAGCACCCATGCCTTACATTAGGTGGCTGAGCGGGGACGTGGAGCTCACTCCACCGCAAGGCACTCCCATTGGCCGAAATGTCCTGGAGCTCACAAACATCCAGCAGTCCACCAACTACACGTGTGTGGCTACCTCCTCCCTGGGCACCATCCGGACCATGGCAACAGTCACTGTCAAAGGTGGGACAATCCCCTTTTACGCAGCTGAGACTTTTGGTACCTGAAGGCTGTATAGCTTAACTTTTGGCTTGTTGTAGTTTCAATAATAGTCTATTATGATGAATCGAGAGACTGTAGCTCCATACAACAATATAGCCTGCATGCTTGTTTTAAAAGAAATTATATATATATTACATATATCTGGACTTGAGTTCCGGACTTTGAGAAACAGTGACTTAGACTTTTCTTTTGATTAATTTTATGTTCTTTTTATTAGTAGACTTCTATCACCTATACATGTTCTAAGCTCCAGCGTATGAAGGGTTCAATATTTTCAGTAGCAGCAGTTGTCATTACCTGCGTCTAAAGTAAGATCTGTTCCCCAGCCCTGCCCGTGGCCCCTGTGGGCCTCATGGTGACGGAGACCACTGCCACCAGCCTGACCCTGAATTGGGACTCTGGGAACAACGACCCGGTCCTCTACTATGTGATCCAGTACGAGACCCGGGGCTCAGGTCGGGTATTTCAGGAGGTGGAGGGAGTGGCCAGCACTAGATACAGCATTGGCGGGCTAAGTCCTTTCTCTGAGTATGACCTACGTGTGTTGGCTGTGAACAATGTGGGCCGGGGACCTCCAGGGGCCACAGTAAGCACACGCACCAGTGAGCAGGCCCCCTCATCACCTCCACTGGCCGTGATGGCCCGGATGCTCAGCACCAGTGCCATGTTAGTCCAGTGGGAGCCTCCAGAGGAGCCAAATGGCCTGATCCAAGGCTACAGTGTGTTGTTCAGACCAGAGGAGGAGGCTCCACTCACACAATGGCAGTCTGTCACCACGGACTCACGACTACAGACAACTTTGTCAGGACTGAGTCCACAGCTCACCTATAGCCTCAGGGTTTTGGCCTTCACTGCAGTGGGAGAGGGCCCCCCATCAGAAACACTACGGATAAAGGCACAGCAAGGGGGTGAGCTTCACACATGCGCATGCTTGAAGGTGGCAAGGGGCCACAGCTAAACCAAAATTAGAACTGTAAGTTATTCGTATTGATCGAGATTCATACGAATCTTCTCTCCACAGCTCCCACAAGGCAAGGCAAGTTTATTTGTATAGCACAATTCATACACAAGGCAACTCAAAGTGCTGAACAAACATAAGAAAGCATTAAAATCATAAATAATCACAGAACATTAAAAAGAAAGATAAAATATACAATCCCTCAGTTGTATGCACAGCTAAACTGTCTTTAACCTGGTTTTAAACATTGTCAGAGAGGAGGCCTGTCTCACATCTTCAGGAAGATTGTTCCAGATTTTAGCAGCATGTATCTGAAAGGCAGCCTCCCCATGTTTAGTTCTGACTCTGGGCACTAACAGGAGTCCAGTCCCTGTGCTCCTCAGAGTCCGGGCTGGTTCATATGGTACTAACATGTCACTAATATATTTTGGTGCGAGGCCATGGAGAGATTTGTAACAAGCAGAGCTGTTTTAAAGTCTATTCTCTAATTGTGCTTTCAGACCGGATCATGCGTTGCGTCGGGTTTCAATGCAAAGTCTATGGTGGCGCGCGTTCGACCGTCACAACGCACGGACCTCTCGGCACGCACTAACGGACTGTTCAATAATGACGCACGGACTTGGCGGGAAAGTCAAAGGGGAGGAGCAGGAGCGAAAAATCAACGCCCACAGGAGATAGATTCTGCTCATCCTTTCCTTGCGACGTTCGTGCGACAACCAATCAGAGAGCAGCAAAGTGGTCACGGGGACATTAGCGGACTGAGCGAGCAGACTGAAAATACTCATAAACAGCCAAAACAGGACCCACACCAGACTTCACCAGAACTCAAACCAGGGTTGACAATGGGGGACTCTGTGCTTGTGAAAATATGTGTTGTCATGCTCCCGTGACCTTATGCAACTGCTTCGAGTGTGTTCGCCGATGCGGAAATACCGTTTAATAATATGAATAAACGTATGGCGCACCTCCGTGAACACATATTACTGTTGTATAAAGCCAGTGAAATGTCTGTGAGCAAAGACACGCTGCAAAGCTGCATATTGGAGAAGATCTGTACACAAGAAGTCGCTAGCATAGCTCTGTTAGCATTAGAGCCGGCCGGCTACTTCCGGTACTTCCGGCTCGCGTCAGGACGTTCTGGTGTGAAGTCCTCTGCGTCTGAAAACTAGAGAATGCGCGTCTGGTGAGCGGGGCTTCCGCGTTTCAGCGTTGGCGGTCTGAAAGCACCATAAAGCCACAGGAAGCCAATGCAGAGACCTGAGGACTGGACTAATATGGTCGTACTTCCTGGTTCTAGTCAGGACTCGAGCTGCTGCATTTTGAATGTACTGCAGCTGTTTTACAGCCTGTTTGGACAGACCTGTGAGCAGGCCATTGCAGTAGTCTAACCTACTGGAGACAAATGCATGGATAAGAATCTCCAGGTCTGCTTTAGACACTATGTTTTTGATCCTGGCAATGTTTTTTAGTAAAAAGCTGCTGATGTTACTGATTTGATGTGGCTATTAGTAAGTTTTTATTACTGAGTCCAGTATTACCCTTAGATTTCTGACCTTGTTTGAAGGTTTTAGGGAGAGAGACTGTAGATGACAGATGACGCTCTCTCTTTGTTTCTGGGGACCAAAGACAATCATTTCAGTTTTGTCTGCGTTTAGCTGAAGGAAGTTGTTTTGCATCCACTCACTGATCTGTTGGATACAGTGAAGGAGTGAGTCCACTGGTCCATGTTCTCCTGCAGTCAGTGAGACATAGATCTGAGTGTCGTCTGCATAGTTATGATAGGACACTTTGTTTCTGCGTATTAACTGACCTAACGGCAACATGTAAAGATTGAACAGAAGAGGTCCCAGGATCGACCCCTGTGGTACTCCACAGGTCAGGGCCATATGATCTGAGACACAGTCTCCAATCTCCACAAAGTACTTCCTGTCCTCAAGGTAAGACCTAAACCAACTTAGGGCGGTGCCAGCGACGCCAACCCAGTCCTCTAGTCTCTGTAAGAGGATCTCATGGTCGACAGTGTCAAAGGCAGCACTTAGATCTAACAAGATTAAGATTGAGACTTTGCCTGCGTCAGTGTTCAGCCGGATATCGTTTGTAACCTTAATGAGAGCAGTCTCAGTGCTGTGGTGGGGTCTAAAGCCGGACTGAAACATATCAAATGAGTTGTTGATTATAAGAAATCTAGTAAGCTGTAGGTAGACAACTTTCTCAAGGACTTTCCCCATAAATGGCAGATTTGAGATGGGTCGATAGTTGTTAAGTACCGTAGCATCCAGGCTGCTCTTTTTTAGCAGGGGCCTGATGACTGCAGTTTTCAGGGCCTTTGGGAATATTCCAGAATGAAGGGACATGTTTACTATCTGTGTGAGTGAAGGTAACAGACTGCTCAGAACAGACTTCAGAAATCTAGTGGATAGTACATCCAGGCTGCATGTGGAGGAGCTCAGACTTGTGATTATCTCTTGGACAGTTTGATCATCTACAGGTACAAAGTAAGTTAGCTCAGAAAGCTTTTCTGGCTGTTGGATGGTTATCTGTGGATTGGAGACAATGGCGTCTTTGATGCATTGAACCACAGCGTCCACACTTCTCATCACAGTGACACATTTCCTGATCAGCCCTTTCGAGCCGGTGTATTATCGGGTTGCACCAGTGTTAATTTGACAAGAAATTTCGTTTTAGTCTTTTGAGAAAAAAATATTTTAGTTTGTTACAATTTTAGTCATCTGATTTAATTTAGTTTTAGTCCAATTTTAGTCGACAAAAATGTGAAGCAATTTTAGTCAACTAAACAATACTTTTTTCCTAAAAACATGTTACTTGTGATATTTGTATAAATAGGGCGACAGTAGCTCAGTTGGTAGAGCATTGGCCTTTGAGCCTGAAGGTCGTGGGTTCGAGCCCACCCTAAGACCTACTTCACGACTCCCACTGATGTCTGCTGTCGTCGTGTCCTTGGGCAAAACACTTAACCCCATTTTTCCTGAAGCCCCCACTGAAAGATCTCAGCTCCTGTGGACTCAGCTCCTGTGGACTCAGCTCCTGCAGGTGGATCAGTGAGGGGCTGGTGCTCTGTGTACTGGGTGCAGCTCTGACTGCCACCCCCCCGACCCAGAAATTGATTAAGGGGAATAAGTACAGTATATTGCTTGTAGCATACAATGACAAACGTGACACTTTACTTTGGAGCAATCTTGTTTATATATAATATCATTGTAGATCAATTGTAGATGTCTCTGAGGTACCATTTATTGTAGGCACTTAAGAGTATTTTAAAATGTTTTGTCCACATGATGGCGGTAGAGCTTTCAACTATGTTATGGCTGCAATGCCTTTTCACTTGGCTTCATATTTCCATCTCTTATTTTCTCCTTTGTCAAACGTAAAAAAGGCCTCACAAATATCCTCTTATTTTTCTCCCAGTCGTGGGCATGTTCTTGATCTTTTCATCACAGACGCTTTATAAGCTTACTTCAGTACTGAGTGGTATTGTGGTTAGCGTTAGCAATAGCAATAGTTTCTGTTCACAGCTGGCGCCACTAGTGCTAGCAAGCCCACATTGGTCCTCCTCACATGTACTCTGGCCAGTCGATTGATTGTTTTTTAAATTTGCTCTTATCTATCCGTTCTTCTGATTTGATTTCATCATGGTCAATTTTTTTGCCAAAAATGTCCATCAATTTAGTCATTGTCTATTTCTCATTGAATAACTTTATTTTAGTTTTCAGTGTTAATTTCAACAAAAAGAACACTGGTTTGCACTGCCTTGTTGCGATACACTGCCTCAGCTGGTCATGATGTAATGCAAACCTGCACATGTCCTTCTCACGGCAGCCGAAGGAAACCAAGATGGCGGACATGAAGTCAGTGAATTTCTTTAAAAGTTTATATACGGACGAACAAAAGACACGAATATCACTTTTAATGCAATTTGAGGCGAGATGTTGATCCATGTTGTGATATGTGGGTTTTAAGAATCAAAGTGTTGTGTAAAGTTTAGTAGCAGTCAACTGCTCCTGTCAAACTTTTCTTGAACTGCCGCATACGTCATTTTACTGCCGTAGGCCGATGACGCGCCATGTGTAATGACGCGCAACCTTTAGTTTAAAACTTAGTTTTTTTATTATATTCATTATCATTATCACTAGCTAACACTAGTAATGATCAGCAACAGCCCTTCGAGTCACAGCAGCATAGGTGGAGCAACCCCTGGGTGGAGCAGGACGGGTCACAGCAGCAGAGGTGGAGCAACCCCTGGGTGGAGCAGGACGGGTCACAGCAGCAGAGGTGGAGCAACCCCTGGGTGGAGCAGGACAGGTCACAGCAGCAGAGGTGGAGTAGCCTCTGGGTGGAGCAGGACGGGTCACAGCAGCAGAGGTGGAGCAACCCCTGGGTGGGCAGGACTGGTCACAGCAGCAGAGGTGGAGCAACCCCTGGGTGGAGCAGGACAGGTCACAGCAGCAGAGGTGGAGCAACCCCTGGGTGGAGCAGGACGGGTCACAGCAGCAGAGGTGGAGCAACCCCTGGGTGGGCAGGACTGGTCACAGCAGCAGAGGTGGAGCAACCCCTGGGTGGAGCAGGACGGGTCACAGCAGCAGAGGTGGAGCAACCCCTGGGTGGAGCAGGACGGGTCACAGCAGCAGAGGTGGAGCAACCCCTGGGTGGGCAGGACTGGTCACAGCAGCAGAGGTGGAGCAACCCCTGGGTGGGCAGGACTGGTCACAGCAGCAGAGGTGGAGCAACCCCTGGGTGGAGCAGGACGGGTCACAGCAGCAGAGGTGGAGCAACCCCTGGGTGGAGCAGGACTGGTCACAGCAGCAGAGGTGGAGCAACCCCTGGGTGGAGCAGGACTGGTCACAGCAGCAGAGGTGGAGAAACCTCTGGGTGACATGAAAACTTGCTTTTGAGGAAATAACTTCATTTTGTGAAAGTGATGCACTTTTGAAA